CAAATCAAATCTATGTCTGCTGCACTTTCAAAAATCAATATAATCATTGTAAATCTATGGTGCTCCCTCCAGGACTTGCCCTATTGTCTGTTGCTGCGATCCAGCTTGAGCAGATGGGTAGGGCTCTGAGGCTGTGGCCGATCAGAATGTGTTTGTGCGCGTGCAAGGGGGCAACACCCATGCAAAAGCCTGTACACTCTGGGATTTTCTGGGCCCTGGAACTTTCAAACATGCCTCTTCGTTCAAGGCTCCATGGAAACTCCCACTGGCACAATATTAGCATATGCTACTATATAATTAAAATGCTAATAATGTACAAGAACTCTGATGCACACATTTCAAAAAGAGGATATTTTGAACCACTGTTTTTAAAAAAAAATTAAAAAACCAGAAGAAGAAGAATGGCTACAGCAACCACCTTTGGATCAGGTTCTGGAGATGGGCAGTGAAAGAGAGGAGAGAAAGCAGAGAGGAATATATACAAATCCACATTTACTAATTGCAGAACAGGGAATATATTCCTCATAAACAATTATCTCTAGAGCCCAAGAGAATAGGCAAACCAGCACTTTCGTGAGGAACAGGCTGTGGACCCAGGTAATGAACATGGTGAAAACTGTGGGTTGCAACTGCAGGATGGCAGAGGGTATTAAAAAAAAAGTAGAAAGGCGTTTGCAGATCTATAAATAAGATAAACTCTATGCATATCAGCCATGGAACAGAGTTCACAGTAGCATCAAGGCTCTGGAGATGACTCCCCAGGTTGAGATCTTGACCCAAATCCTATTGGCAGCCATCATAAGGAATGACACCATTCAGATGATGAGTAAAGCACCAAGTAAATTTTGGTGACACATTTATAACACCGCTCAGAAAACTCACTTTGGGAAATGTCATTGCTCTTTCTGAAGTCTGCCATGTTACTGCGAGCATCATAGCCCTGGGAGAGCACAATGTCTTAGCATTCTGGAATGACCCCCTTGAGTGCTCGGAAATCTGTAGGGGACATCTGAAATTTCAAATGGGAAGGAGGGTGAAGGATTGTATTTTGGTTTTTTTCCCTTAGTGATAGCTTTGGACCTGCTCCTGATCACTATGGAAGTCAGTGGGAGTTTTGCCATTGAATTTACCTTAATAGGTGCAGACCATCTCCCTGCCTGTGAGTGAGAGAAAGACAAACAGACCCCCTCCCATGATGAAATATATAAGTGCAGACCACCAACTGGGGCACAATATGATGCCTAAGAGAGAGAGAGAGAGAGAGAGAGCGCTCTACTGAATCCTCCTGATTCTAGCCAAATTTTACAGATCATGGTCCACCAACCTGCATGGATCTTGTGGTGATCTCCAGAAAAACACCTGAGACTCAATAGCAATTCAGCCAGGCAAGACTGATAGCATCACGTTTCTTTAATGAACCCATTAGGGGAATTTTAGAAGGGAACCCATCACTGATAAGTGAAGAAGAGTACAGTACTCTTTTCTGGAAACACTGTGACCTTGGAATTAGGAACAGTTATTGACATTGTGGCTGTTTATTGCATTGTTGGACCTTGACTACATCCAGTTGTCGGAAGCATATTATGGCTTTGAGACTGCTTGGAGAACTGCAATATAACATAAGCACAAAGAAGGGTAAAATTATTTTAAAACAAAATAGCAAAAGCATTGACCCAGGAATTCTCATCTTGACAATGCGAGGCAGGTCAGGATATGAACGTTGCATCTCAAAATTGGCAAAAATGAGAAAGCAGAGACGTTCAAAGCTATCATAAGGTAAATTCTAATTTTTCACAAGTTATTGAACTTGAGGTAGGAATTACTGAGTGAGGTTCTGTGTGATGTTGGCGGTTGGACTAGATGAGCAGAGTGGCCCTTTCTGAAATGTAAATACATAACTCTATCTCTTTATGTATATTGTTAAAGAATTTGGTTTATGTAACTGTATTTTAACCACAATTTTAACTACAAAATTCCTAGTTTGGTGAAGTATCAGTAAAATGATGTTTCTCAGTGACAGTTACATGAGCACTATTAATGGAATCAAGATACTTTAAACAGCAACAGGTCCATTGTGGAAATTCATTTTTAACCCCTACATGCTGATCTCTTAAATACTTATAAGTACCAAAGGCCCCAATTCTTCAGTCAGATCCACCCTGCATCCATGTGGTTCTGACTGAAGGATTAAGACTTAATTTATTACAAATCAATGTGTGAGCTGCCCCAGATTTTAAATCAATTCCATTTAATCACAATTGAGAGATGTGCACAAACTCTTTTCCTCTCCCTCCCCATCCATCCCAATGAAATTGGAACAATCTGAACTGCAGGGAAAGTTAGATCCTCACCCAAACTACACACCAGGCCCCTGTCTTGTAGGATGAGGGGAGGAAATCTTTGAATTTGGAGATCCCGACTTTTGGGGAAGTTAGATTTGAACTTTGTGCCTCAGCTTCATGTAACTGTGGAATGTACATCTCTTCAACTGTGCTAATACCAGCCTAGCTATAGACGCTAAACAAATACTATTTAAGGAATACAGGGTAATGTTGTAGATACTCTTCTTTCCTCCTCAGTAATGCAGTTCTCAAATGGGAATAAAGATAAGAGGAAAACTGCTGAAGTATCCAACTGTCTGAGCCCAGTAAGCACCACATAGCGATCCAGACTTCTGAGATCCATTCAAGCAATGTCTTTTAGAAAACAATTTACATTTTTACCATGTACAAATGTATCTGAGAAGTAGACACTGTTCACTTCTATCCATCTAAATGAACTGAAAGCCAATACATTTAAAATTGATAAAAGTAATTTGATGCATAATATAATTAATCTATGAAACCCACAAGATATCATTGATTCCGGATGCTTAGCAGGACTCAGAAAAGTATTAGCCCTTTATGTGGTTAGGACATCCACTGTTATATTAGCTAGATGTAATATAAATAGAGGATATAAACCATCATGCTCACAGCATAAATTAAACACTAATTGCCTGGAATTCGGAAGAAATTTTTTCATATGGAGAAGTTATTCCATAATTGTCCATTATGGTGATTCTTGTGCTTTCCCTGGGAAGCATCTGATCCGGAACCTTGTCTGAGTCAGAATTCTGGATGAGATGGACGACAGCTTGGACTTAGCAATATGTTTGTATCTCCATTTATAAAGCAGGCATGAAGATAGGCCTGGTTGAGTTGACCAATGGTAGTGTTTGGAGTTTTGCATATGATAAGATAGTATCATTTGAAATGCCTTAGCAATATACCCTCGTCTGAACATGCCCACAAAAAGGGGGAGAAAAGAAAAATGTTTATTATCAATTGGGACCATTAGAACAATGAGGTTCCCAAACACTCCACATAACTGATGAGTGTGTGTGTTTTCCACTTCAGCCACATCCCACTTCACCTTTGTAAAGCACTTTTAGATCTACAGATGACCAGTGCTATATGTGAGCTTGGTATAATTATGATCTGTGTCTCTAAATTATTATTCTAAATAGGATCTGGTATTTTGGAAACATTTTAGCATGGGGCTTCAATTTGAGTGTGTGTTCAAGCATCTGAGATCTGTGTAAGACTCTCTTCTCTGCCTTGTGGCAAGAGCTCTTGTTAACAATAAACCAGCTTGATCCACATCCTGTGTGTTAAACTGTTCCAGTTGGAATCCAGATTTGTTTGCTGTCCTTCCAAACCAGTCCTCAACTTACGAGGATGACTTCCCATCCCGCTATTGCCAGGACCGTCCTAATGGAAACTGACTGGGCTGTGAAACTGCTCGAAACCCGCCTTCATCATGAGGACAGCAGTAGTGGAGAAAAGCCTGGTTGTAACAGGGTGGAGTTCTGCACCTGTAGCCCATGCTAGCTGTTAAACTGCCCAGAGGCAGCTGGGGCTGGGGTGAGCCCTGCACCATGGCACTTACTGCCCTGGGGAGCCTCCTAGACTCATGCAAAGACAAAGCCCAACCCCAGCAAGGTGAGCTACACTTTGGGCAGGCATGGACATACTAGCTGCGTTGTCTGAGGAGAGGTGAAACCAAGATGCTGAGCAAAGAGCTTGGGGCCCAGCCAGGCGTGAAAGTAGGCCACTTACCGGTACGGGCACGGGGCTCTGGCCCCTGGAAGGGGTGGGGCCTCGGATGGAAGGGGCGGGGCTGGGGGGGGGTCAGCATCCAGCCCTTTCAGGCCGCCTGGCCCACACCGTCCAGGGCTCCTGTGTTGATTTAAAGGGCGTGGCAGCGATGTCCGGAGCCCCGGGCCTTTTTAAATCACCAGCCCCAGGGCAACTGCTCCCTTGCCCCCCCTCCCCCACCAGTCGGAGGCTGCAGGGTGTGTGTGTGTGAATGGGACAGGGACATTAAAGCGCTGTAGGGCCCTTTACCACGGCAGTGCTTTTAACGTTGCTGCCGGGCCACCGACGGGGGGAAGGGGCAGCGACATTGAGGATCCTTAAAGCGCTGCTGCGGCAAAGGACCGTCCTTAAAGCGCTGCCGCGGCAGAGCTTTAACGTCGCTGCCCCTTCCTCCCTCCCCCGTCAGCGGTCCTGCCGGTAGGGGGAGGCAAAAGGGGCAGGGACATTAAAGCGCTGCCACTTTAATGTGGGCTGGGTATGGGCCACTGCAGGTTCTTACCAGTGCGGAGTACCGGCCCATACCAGCTCACTTTCACCCCTGGGCCCAGCAATGAACTGTGAACCCACGTGTCCTGGCCAACCTGCTGCCCCTGCGGTGACCAACTCCCACCACCAGGGGGCAGCTCCCTGATCCTCCCCCGCTTTGCTGCTGCAGGGACCTTGGGGCTGCTCCCTCCCCTCCCTTTTTCTCTATGGCTCTCTCAGAATCCCCCGCTCCCATCTACGCAGCTGCCTGTGCGCTAATGGAATAAGGAGAGGTTCGGTCTCGCCAGCGTCGGGGGGCGGAGACTGGGGCGAGAGAAGGCCCCGCCTCTGCCCCGGTGCGGTGCCCTTCGGAATTCTTCCCCTGCGGGGTGTTGGCAGTTGGTGTCCGGAACTTCGTTTGCGGGCGGCGGGGCGGGCGGAAGGTTTTTCCGCACGGACCGGACCAGGCTGTGCCGGGAGCGGGAGCTATGGCGGGCTGGGGGCCGCTGCTGTGCCGGGCGGGGGTGCGCCTGCTGGCGGGAAGTCCGGGCGGCCCAGTGCAGGCGGCGGCCGGTACCGGGAACAGGTGGGTGCGGAGCTGTGGGAAGGGGACGCGGCAGAGCCCCGCGGCCTGGTGGGGAGGGGAGGTCAGTGCGGCCACGCGCTTGCGGCGGGGGCTCGGGTGGGGTCACCTGGGCTCTGGGGCCCGGGGTGCGCCCTGTGCCCGGGGGGTGCGCTTGCCCGTCCCTCCATCCCGCGCAGCCCGCCCGCCCGCCACGTTCCCCTGAGGCTGTGGGGATGCGCCTCGCCAGGGCAGGGGGTGTTGGCAGCGCCCCGGGGCTTGGCCCCATCGCCTCTGGGTTCCATTTGTGACTTCCTTGGCTTCTTTAAGGCCCTTCTTCTCAGGGTCGGCCAACAAAATTTTGGCAGGGAGCTGAAATGATCCCTCATGCCCCCTCACTTGGGCCAAAACGTTGAAAGGTCTCAATTCTGCCTTCTTCCTGTTCTACTCCTCTCATGGTACTGCTCTGCTACCTACCCCAATAAAGGAGAACTAACAACTTAAAATGCCTTGTTCAAAATTTAAATAACATTTAACTTTCAAATGCCTGAACAGCAAATGTAACTTTTCTTGTCTGCATAGTAAACACTGGCATTTTTATCTGTTTGAATAATCACAGTGGTACTTTCCATGCCTTCTTGGTTGCAAAGATCTGAACTGTTTCCTGCTGAAGGTCCACAGTCTGGGCCAGCTCATGCTCTATTGAGATGGTTGCAAGGCCAACCAGCCTCTCCTCTGTCATTGTGGAGCGTAGATGTGTTTTTATTAACTCCAGCTTGGAGAAGCTGCGTTCTCCACTGGCAACTGTTACAGGAAGTGTTAGAAGTATGCGCAGAGCCACAAAAGCATTTGGAAAGAGGGTGGTCATCTTATTTGTGCACATATATTCCAGAACAGCCTTTGGAGTTGATCCTGCTTAAATGTATCTTGAAAGGGCTTTCAGTTCATCACCTAAATCACTTGCATCAATATCGCGCATGTCATCATGTGTCAACACTGTATCTAGTGCCCTGCATTGCTGGTGTAGATCTTCTTCAGGTATAGTGAGGAGTTTTGGAATATCATACAACATCCCAAATATACTGCTGTGTTCCTTGAGCTGCATGAAATGTTCTTCAACTGACTGTATTGCACAATCTAGCACCTGGTTAAAGAATTCAACTTTGAATTGTTGTTTGGGGTCTCTTATGGGATTATCCTGTGCCTTGTAATCAAAATGTCGTCGTCTTCGGTGACTCTTGTATTTTGAATGGGTGAGAAAATAGCTTCAGTGTGAAGTTCCTCTGCCAACTTCTGTGCACTCTTCAGAATGTTTTGAAATCCTGCATCTGACCGGTAAGACTGTAGGTATGACTTTGCTTTGTCCAGTTGTTCCATTGCTCCAGATATATCAAGGTCAACACCTTGGCGTCTCTTGCTTATAACATTTATTTCAAACAGTATGTCATGCCACAACACTAAGCCACACAGAAATTTGAAGTTATGTATGTTTCTGGTGATTCCATTTCCCTCTGCCACTGTTCTCCCACAAACAGTTCCTGTCATATCATTATCCTCTATAATGGCAACTATGGCTTCATCTATCTTCCCAGTTTGGTGTTTGATAGGCTTTATCGCCTCCACTCGACTTTCCCATCGTGTGGCACTCAGTGGTTTCAGTGTCAGAGAGGATGTTCCCAGATGTTGCTTCAAAATTTGCCATCAATGAGTTGATGCAGAGAAAAATACATAGATGCTTTGAATTAAATTAAAAAATTCAGCAGCTTCACTAGAAGCTGATGCTGCATCACTGACCACCAAGTTCAATGAATGAGAACTGCATAGGACAAAAAAATCTCGAGGGTTTAACTCTCGGAGCCGTGTCTGCACTCCTCGGTTCTTTCCCCTCATGTTGGCACCATTATCGTATCCGATGAAGTAGGCTGTAGCCCACGAAAGCTTATGCTCAAATAAATTTGTTAGTCTCTAAGGTGCCACAAGTACTCCTGTTCTTTTTGTGGATACAGACTAACACGGCTGCTACTCTGAAACCTGTCATTATTTCTTGGGTGGTGACTCTTCTTAGATGCTCCTGGAGAACAGCATCAAACTCCGCCATCAGCTCCACAATTTTAAGGAAGTTTCCATTGTTTGGCACATACAGCTGATCTGAAGTGCCATGCAGTGCTAGGTTTTGGGTAGCAAGCATTCTCACAATGGCAATGAGCCTTTTCAGAACATTTTGCCAGTAAAGAGACTCTGATGCAATATTTTCTAGATGCTGATCATCTATGGTGGCCTTTAACCTTAGTCTCATCTCAAGCTCTTTCCACCTATGGAATACTCTCTGGTGATTTGCTGCCTTCTCATGGCATGCCAGATTTCTAGCCAGATTTTTCCAGTCCTTTGTTCCTGTAGAACCCAATGTGGCCGAAACATTAGACTGGAAGAGTTTGCAACAAAAACAGTATGCAGCATTCTGGGTTTTTGAATACATAAGCCATGGCCTCTCCATTTTGTCACCATTGGGGATTTCAAGCCAGTAATGTGTTAATGAAAATAGAAGTTTCCATCCATCTTTGGGGAACATGAAGTTTTTCACTTGCTGTGGCCCATGCAGTACAAGGAAGTCCCTCAGGCTACTGCTCAAGTGGGTCCACTGTCCTGGATCATCTAGACTTAAGGAACTAAACTCAGCAGCTGCTGTTTCTTGCGCCTCCACCACACTCTTCTCTGATCTACACTTTTCTTCAGGAATGTGCATGGTTACATACATTTGAGATGGAAATATGGATGCTGCAGTAGCTGCCAGGTCACCTGCTCTCTGACTAATTGGAAGATCAGGCATCTTCTCTCCACTCACATCCTCACTGGAGCCAGAAGGCTCACCGTGAACATTTGTGTCTATGTATCTCAGGAGAGCTCCTTTCTGCTTAGATAGAAAAGCTTCCTTTGCTTTCTTTCTTTTTTCTGAATACTGCTCCAGGGGCGCTCCTCCTCCTTTCTCTCCCTGCAGCTCCTGCTGCTTTCTGTTATTCCCTCTCACCTTTTCTCCTGCCTGCCTGTTACGACTCTTGTGCCTTCCTTCCTCCAGCACAGCACTCCACCATCTCTGTGCATCTAGAGCAGAGCAAATACATATGCACCAGCAGCAGACACAATTTTCTACACTCTAGGTCCTAGTGGTGTCCCCCCACTGTCTGGCACCTGAGGCGGCTGCCTCAGTTCACCTCATGGTAAGGCCAGCCCTGCTTCCTCTACTACAACCTTCTGCCGTGGTTGTGACTAGGGACCACAGTTGCTAACTTGTGTGCAGTAAATAAGCACCCCGACTTTCACAATAAGCCAGAAATCAACCTAATCCCATTTCAAAACAAGCCAATCCCTAAGAACCCCAACACTCTATGTGACTCGATCCCCCCGGCGTGCAGTCTGGGACTGTGGTGGACCCGCTGTGTACCCTGACTCTCTCCCCTGCTTATCCTTGCCCCTGCTTGCTGGGAGCTGATCAAAAACAAGAAGCTAGAAGCCAAACAAGCAACAAACCAAACACTAGCCAACAAGCAACTCCCAAGCCAATTAAGCCAAAAACAAGCTCAATTTTTGTTTGTGTTTTGTTGTTGCAGGTTTGGCATATCTGCTCGTTATGTCTTTGTACTACTCCCCGTCCCCTCCCCTCGTGTGGCTGGGGTTCCTACAAGCTACCACAGTACCAATAGCGAGGAATGGTGTGTGTTCACACACCCCATGGTTAATACTCAGTCAGAACACATGGGACATGGTTGGCTTAACTGTAACTGGTTGGACACGATGCTGTTTCGTAGCACGGACGGTATCTTCTAATCACGTCAGTGGAAATGGATTGGCACAGTCCTTTCTTAAGCCCTCCAGAATGTGTTCCCTTCCGTGCTACTGGGGCCACTTTGGGTATGTCTACACTGCAGTAAAATACTTGTGCCTGGCCTTTGTCAGCTGACTTGGACTCAGGCTGCAGAACTATAAAATTGCACAGTAGGTGTTTGGGTCAGGGTGCATCAAATTGATTTAAATCACTAGTCAGGAAGACTTGATTTAATCATGGATTTCATCATGGATTTCTACATAAAAGTGCATTCTTGTTGGTTGTAATAACCTCAATACATAGTCTTTGCAACTCAGAGATGTAGGTTTCATTTTTAGAAGGTACACACTATACATTTTTAAACAGTGATTTATTTTGAAAACTTTTCAGATTAGTTTTACAGCTATATTAGAAAATGAATGATTGGTTATTTCATTTACCAAAGGTAATTGAAGCAGATATTTATGAAGTCATTGGGAGGTGAACTATCTCCAATTCAATAGATTAATCATTAATATTTGGAGGATTTTCTTGCCATGCTGTATTAGGAGGAGAATATCACCAGACAGACATTTAAATTGTTTTGTTTTAACTTAAACACCAACATTATGTTTTCTGGGGTTTTTTCTAAAACAGCAAACATAATCTTTTAACAAAACAAACATATAAATTTCTGAATTTAGTTAAACATTCAAGTTTGTTAAAATCAGGTTTGTTTTTGTTTGTTAACTAAAATAGTTACATGAAATATTTACAAAAACAAAACAAAAATTTAATGGACTAGGTCAGCCAGGTCAACATGAGAAACTTAAAATATTGACTTCTGCAGCTAACTCAGTCATCTTCACCTTCATTTTCCTGTTTGCTCATAATCTGGAAAAGAAAAACAAGCTTTCCGGCTTTTTCAGGTCCCAAACAATTTCTCAATTTGAAATGAATTAGTCCAAAGGAAGAAAATATTCTTTCTACACCGACAGAAGAAGCTACTGCTGTTAAAAGTGAGATTATCACTTCAAGAGTCTCTGAATCCAAGTGCTTAAGTGACTTCCACCACTGGTGTGACTTTCTTTAAAACATCATCAGCAAACATATATTTCTTGAATGGTTCACCCTTAGCGCTGAAGTTTATCATAGTTGGCATTATGGAAGGATGATTGCTGGATGTCCATGTCATAGCTAAGTCTTCTTCTTCAGCAGTTAAGGTTTGACCCTGGTACCGAGTATTAAGAATATTTGCAAGAAAATGAGCTGGAGATGGTGCTTGTCCCATTCGTTTTTTTAATGCTTGTAATTTAACTCTGTCATTGCATATTTCTCTTTTTAAGATCTCACTCAGTTCCTTCCAAATTTCAACAGCATCAGCAATAAAACAGCAACTTTGGCTGTGACAGTGTCATCTATTTTTTTCACGATTTTGTTCATAAACTGTCATCAGATTAGGTCAGTTCTTGATATAGTGCTCAAAGCAGTCCACTACTGAGTTTCATCGCATGTGTTGTGGGAGAGTTAGCTTGGTTCCTCCCACTTTTTTCAGAGCTGCTGATGCAAAGTGGTTGTAAGGGAAGTATTTTGCAATTTCAACAACATTAGCCTTTATTTCCGGAACACTGAAGTCTTTGGCTAGGAGGTGCATCAAATGAGCACTGCAACCGTATCTTATTAGCTTGGGACTCTCTTCTAAATAATTTCTTCTCATCTTGGATACATTTGCAGCATTGTCTGTGACCAAGCTGCGTACTAGACAGTTGAATTTTTTTCAGTTTGTTATAGCTTTTACTGCTACTTCTTGTAAGTATTCTGCTGTGTGTGCATTTCCTGATGTATCAATTGTTTCTGTAAGGAAGACATTCCCTTCTGTTGTCACACAAGCACATACAACAGGATCATTGTAGACATTGCTCCACCCATCAAGACTCAGGTTAACAATTTTACCCTCTAGACCGGGGTGGCCAACCTGAGCCTATGAAGGAGCCAGAATTTACTAATGTACGTTGCCAAAGAGCCACAGGTTGAGCAGTGAGCATCCCCTGGCACTTTGGAAAGTTGGCACCTGTAGCTCCAGCCCTGGAGTTGGTGCCTAAACAGCGAGCCGCATATTGACTTCTGAAGAGCCCCATGTGGTTCTGGAGCCACAGTTTGGCCACCCCTACCCTAGACCTTTTGCACACTGCTCAATTTCTCTTTCATACACTTTATCCAGCAATTTGCCTACGACATCTGCTCTGTTGGGTGGACTGTATCCTGGTCTTAATGACTGAACCATGTTAATGAAGTGTGGGTTCTCAATCCTATGGAAAGGAGAGTTTGTTGCATAAACAAACCGGGCAATTTTTTCATCAATTACCACTTTTTGTAATCTGTTGGTTCTTATCACAAATTTATCTATGGTGGTTTCTGGATGGAGATTTTTTCCCCCCTTGCTACAGGTGATATACTGTGGCTGTGTGATATACATGACGTGACTGAAACACTATCATTGGCAGATAACTCTGAAACTATAGAAATTATGATGATCTTGAAGGTGGATAGTCTTCAGAATCCTGTATGTTGAGGATGGATTCTCCTAAACAAAACAAGTCAATGCAGTTATTTAATTATTATTACCATGCTGCTCATTTAGTATTACTCATTGCATTCATTGACACTCAGTGACACTACTTTAAAGGTGAAATTGTAAAAGGAAGATCTGCCTATTTCAGCTATTTATTTTTTATCACAACTGCATCTAAAATGATAGTATCCTTGAGTAACAACTACATTTATTTGCTCAAACATGAGAATTCAAGAATAGTCCAGAAGGAAGACAGGCAGTCCTTAAGAAAGAAGTATGAAATAAAAAAGTCTGAACATGCAAGATTTTCATGTTGGTAAACATGTTCCTTTCATCATCTTCAACACCGCTTCCTCCTGAGAAGGAACACTTCTCATGATGTTGTTTCATTTGGGCAACCAGGTCTTGCATTTCTTTGTTGACTCTTTGCATTTTGCATGCGTGCCTGTCTTACCCACAGGTAGAGGAACTTCATTAAAATATTCCCAAACTGGGTCTCTTTTACGGCCTGCTGCCATTATAGGTTTTCCCTTCTAATGAGAGAATGGTATGGTAGATCTCAAATCAATGAAGGCTGCACTCAGAAAGACCTCAAGACTTCTGGAATATACTGCTCAAACAGTTTCACTTTTGTTTCTACTGCCTGTCCCTCCCTTCTCATATTTATCTCCAGACTTCTCCTTGTCCAGATCTATTCCACCCCCAACAATCTTCTATTCATTGAACTTTTTGAAACTTTGCACTTTTAGAGAGAGGTAAGTATTAGAGAGAGGGACAACAGGGTTGAGGTCTCTATATATTATTTATTTACTTTATTTATTTAAAAACATTTTTGCTGTTAACAAGCATGTTATCTCTGGAGACACAAAGCCAGAGTTTGAGAACTACAGAACTAAGCATCTCTGATGGTATCTTCTAGACTGAGCACTGAGTCCCATTGGGTAGCTAGAAAGATGAACTTAAATAATCTATACAGAAGCCCCTGGAACCCCATAAAATTGGGTCCCTAATCTATGAACTATTGGAATTCATTTACAAAACTTTTCTTTAACATTACATGACTATATTGTCTCATACTATAGAATTAAAATTTAGAATCCCTATTCCATGATGAGATATCTTTGAGCTCTAATGTATCTTAATTAAAACTATCTTTAGATAGGTTTTTTTTCCCTCAAAAAGCATTTGATCAAAAAATCCATTTAAAAAAAAAATCATTGATTTTTATCCAACCTGGTTTGCTTTCAGGCTGCAACCTGGGCTCTGGGACCCTCCCCCCTTACAGGGTCCCAGAGCCCTGGCTCTTTCCCAAGTCCAAATCTCTACACCGAGAGACTCAGCTGACTCTGGCCTGCTGTGGGTGTTTTATTGCAGTGTAGATGTACCCTTTGTGTGCATCCTCTAAGCAGGCTCTCCCATGCTGAGTCAGTATGAAGTAATTGCCCTAATTTTCATACTGTGCAATAACACATAGGTAACAATCTTCTCAGTTACCATCCATTCAAGGACATCACTGATTTTTAAGAATATCGCTGTTTTGTTTGTAATATGAGGAAGTACTGATGGAGCAACACTCGAATTCCACAGGAGGTCTAAGGAATGCATCAGTTTGGCTTTAAAGTAGGATATGGAACCAAGGATATGGCGTATCAGTGGTTGGTTTCTTTTGGCAGTGGATCAGGATAAATGCAACTAGAGGAGTATGAGACATTGTTGCCTTCATTGCTATCTTTATGCCCATGATTATCTCTGCATGGCCTCCTCCACCATTGTATGTCATCCAGACATTGCTCTTCCATGAAAATCAGATTCTACAATCAGGGCTTTGGAGCTGTGCTCCGGCTCCGCTCCAGCTCCAGGCAAAAACCTGCAGCTCCACTGCTCCGGAGCTGCTCCGCGCTTCAGCTCGGGGCTCCGCTCCAAAGCCCTGTCTACAATTTCATTATTTTTCCCGGTGTTTGGCCTTTATAGGGACCTGAATGAAAGCAAACAGGCTGTGACTTAATCTTGCTAAGATGGAAGCAATGCTTGACATGGGGAAGAATATAAAGAAGTGGGCTAAAGCAGTGTCTGCACTAAACATTAAGGGTGTGGACTTCGTTTTGCATAAACAATTCAGTCTGCCGGTCCATCTGGAGTCATCACTAATTCTGGATTTTCAAGAAGCCACAGTGGTCTATAGTGCCACTTATGTATGGCTGATCAAGAGACTATGGTTTCATCCTCACTAGGAAAAATGTATGTTTTACCATGTTAGCTAGCACATGATAAAATCCTAGTGAACACAACACAAGGCACTTCTTCTAGTTTTCACATGTTTTAGCAGGTTGTGAGGTAAACACCAGAGGGACGCCTTGATAACATGTTAAAATTAGAACTGCCATGTCTTCACTAGGATTTTTCCTCATGTTAGTTACCATGTGTTAGCTAACTCGTGGTAAGGACACACCTTTTTTCTTAGTGAAGGCAAAGCTTATGATTGCTTCTCTCTGATACATACTTTGCAACAGTTATTCAGACTTTAGTTGCCTCCATCTTGGATTGTGGTAATATCCTCTACATGAAGGCAACCTCGAAGTCTTTAATCTGGTACAAAGCACAGTTGCCTGCTTCCTGAGTCTGTGGTATCTTCTATGAGCACGTAGTGATTGTGACTCAGTCTCTGTTCTGAGCTCCTGTTTGCTTCTGGGTGCAAGTAAGGTAGAGTTGATGTCCTTCAGAGCCCCAAACAGGGCTGTTATACTGGTTGAGAGTTCCTGGGTTTAAAAACCTCTCTTGAAGCTGGTAATGAAATCCAGCAGTGGCTTTCTCAGCTTGAAATTTTCCATTTTGGAATTTGCTTCTCTTTGGTTATCCACTAGTGCCTGAGATTAGTGAGCTCTAGGGTGTAGGATAAAAGACTGCTTTATTGTTTTAGCATGTGGTTGATTGCTCCTATTGATTCTATTTTTGATTTTTATTTGTTTGTGTTTAGTAAATTAAATGCAAGCTTATCTGAAGGATGATGATCAGGGTGGGACAGTTTGAGTGCCATCACTTGAGCATGATTTGTTAATGATGTTTAATTCTTTTGTAACCTTTGTGATGAGATGCAGTAGTAAAAGGCATTATATACATTAATAAGCAACCCCAATCCCTCCTCTCCTTTTTTTTATTTTTTTTAATTGGTAGGGGACCCTGGTGCTTTATAGTCAGGCATATTAATAGCACCACCTGGTGGGATGAACATCTTTCTGAAGAGAACACCCAGTTCCTTAAGCAGTTAACAGCAGAAGAATACAGAGCTCAAACAGCCAGTAAACTGTGTCCACTGAAAGATGAGCCTTGGCCACTGCACTCATGGGAACCAGGTTAGTATATGAACAGATGCAGCTCTGGCTGTGGTCGTCATGGGGCTGTTGCAGTATGCAAATAATATTGAACTGGTGTCCTATAAAGTTTCTTCTTTGTTACCTTAGTCACTTTCTTTACCTCTGCGAGGACCAAAGCACTTCTTTAGTCTTCAAGTTCCTCTCTTATTCCTGAGGATCTTCTCCTTCAGCTTCAACACATTTATCATCACTTTCCAGCCACAGCCCCCTCAGAACCTGTCTTGCTTCAATACTCTTGGAATATGACTGTCACAAACACATCAGAGGGTATCACGTAATTAGCTGCTGTTGACTGATGTGAACGACTTCATTCCAAAATCAGGGACTTTGGCTTGGTAGCATTTCAGATCCACAAGGGACTACAGATTGACTCTCAGTCACTGCATAGAAGAGGTAGCGTACTAGGTAGCATAGCTTGTGTGTTTAAGGTCCCACAGAGTCCACAGGAACCCTCTGACACACAGTCTTAGATGAACGTATTTTCTAGATTTTTTTTTTTTTTTTTAATGGTTAGTTAATTATCTTATTGTTGCAGCAGTGGTGCTGACCAAGACTTTAGTGATACTTCTGGTAAAATCTAGCTTCTGGCATTGCAGATGACTGCTTCATATACTTAGAATGGCTACTAAGTGACACAATATGTAAATATTATATAACAGATTTGGAGCTGCTCTTTTTTCCCCACACATTTAAAATATTTATTTCTTAAATATTCCTCTTATGGGTTCTGTGTTTCAAGCTAAAGACCTAAGCATCTGAACCCTTAAAGGTTATACAGTGGCTGAGAATAAAATAAAAACTTAAATATTTAGAGCGGGGGGGGGGGGGGGGAAGGGGAAAACTAATTAAATAATGTTTATCATGTAACACTTAATTTTTGTTTTAGATAGTCATCTGATTTGCCAAAAAGGAAGTCATGTTTGTATTTTTCAGAAGTGACTTCTCAACAAGAAATTATATATTGTAATTAATACTGAGCCCATGTATTGCTCTGCACAAACATAAGTATACATTAAAGAAACCCTGCTATTCCCAACTTGCCCACAAAGTTAAAAACTTGTTCTCTCCTCCCTCAATCCCTTTCATGGGAGGGAAAAGATCTTCTAGCATACCCTGACGAACAACAGACTCTGATTCTGTCAGTTATTTAGTCTAAAGTTAAGGGCTTGGTTTGTTTTGATCTAAAGGTTCCCGCAGAGTTGGCCTTGTTGCAATAAAGTTGGGAATGATTCCGTTATGGACCAAGAATGGTGAAAGATATGCTGTCACATTACTTCAGGTAAGAGAGATACTGATTTTACTTTTAGGATTTACATAAGAATACTGTCTGTTCTAGTAGGCTTTCTGGTGAACAGTTAATTGAAAGATGCTTCATTATAAATGTTTAAAATGTTCTCTCTGAACTTTGTGTCTTCTATTAAACAAATGAAATCGAGTCGACACTGTGACTTTGCTCACATTGTGTAATATCTATTGTTAATTTAAATTAAAATATGAGCAGATGTGTCTGTTTTGAGACCCTGTTTACTGTGATTTATTTTTTAAGGTGAAAGACTGCCATGTTTTAAAGTACACACCAAAGGAGGAGTATAATGGAAAAACAGCTACCCTAATCGTTGGAGGGAAAAATTCATCTCCTTTTTATGTAAGTGTACTACTTCCTTTTTTTGTTTAGAATTGTTATTTCTATAAGGATCACTAATTATAAATGCTTTCAGACAAAACAGTGATATATTAAAAGGTGTTTAGTCAAAGATGAGTCTGCAGCCATACATGTTTCGGAGGCTCATCTTTGTCTCTCACTCACCCTCACACACTCACGTGCCATCGGGTGGTTTGGGTGGGGGAGAGGAGGGACATGGGGAGGAGGAAGGCTCCATTCTCACTTCCCTCCCTTCAACCCAACCTTCCCCAAAATCTGGGAAGTGAGGACAACTCAATTAGCATTTTTCCCCTCTTGGAAATGGTAGAAGGCTGTATTTTTGAAAGCTTCTTTGAAGCATGGTATTCTATTGGTAATGGAGGGAACTGCAGGAAATGAGAACATGTAGTAGCAGTGGATGGGGGAGCAGGTATTTAGCTCTACAAACTTGGGATCTTGGCCCACAAATTTAAAAACCACTGGAATAGGGGAGTTACTTTTGATTCTGATAATCCTTTGGATAATCTCATTATATTGTTGGTTGATGTATCCTGATTTAGTCATTTCTGTTTTAATTTTACCATTGTTTTATTTGCTCATTTGCATATAATATTCCTGAAAGAAGAATTAAACTTTAAACTTAAAATATGCACAGTTGTGAACATAGCTTATTAATGATGGTGCCACAAACCACTAATTTGTTTAACAGCTCTAGATGTCTGATGCAGAAGTCCAAGTCAGTCTTCAATGGCTGAAGCAATTTAGCAGTTTTGTCAATCCCAGGGGGAAAGATTGAATCATGATGGGAAACCTAGCCTTCCTTCAAAAGAGCGCACATTTTTTTTTTTTTGTGATTCATTATGTTTACAAAACAGTATCACACTTCTCTTTGCATTGTTCTTGCGGTCATCTCTGTTTGACCCAGATACAAAAAGGCATTAATGGCTTATTTGGAGATCTGTTTGTTTTTTCTTGAGGGCTTGTACCTCAGTTTTTCTAGTAGGGAATCTACCCAAAATCTTAGTTTTATTTAATGCTTGCGTGTGCACATCTCACCAATGTTCACTTTGGTTTCCACATGTCTTGTCTCTCTGGTGCATGTCCACTACTAGAGGAACATTTTTCACTTGGTGAAATTACACCAGTGCTCCTGGCTGTGTTAGATCAAGACTGACAAAAATCATATGAATCTAGTCATTTTGAAACTGCTGGTGGTGCACCAGGGAAGCACAACTGTGAAGGAATGCATGCGTGATAGTCCTGACTGCTCAACAGTGTCTTCTTGCTTGGCTGAGTAACAAAATGCATTCAGTCCATGGAAAATATAGGATTCATGCAATCACATGTCCAATTTAAACTGCTCTTATTGTGATCTGTATAGCTTTCTTTGATGCACAATGATCTAAAACAGTGGTTCTCAAACTTTTGTACTTGTAACCCCTTTCACACAGCAAGCCTTTGAGTGCGACCCCCCCACCCGTTATAAATTAAAAATGCTTTTTAATATATTTAACACCATTATAAATGCTGGAGGCAAAGCGGGGTTTGGGGTGGAGGCTGACAGCTCGTGACCCCCCATGTAATAACCTTGCGACCTCCTGAGGAGTCCTGACCCCCAGTTTGAGAACCCCTGATCTAAAATATCAGATTGTTGACTATTGTTTATTAAATTATCTATGTTCCTTAATAGGAAATTGTTGCTTTTTTCTAGATAATTCTATTAATTAGGTTATTTTATTTTATTTATTTATTTATTTTAATGGATATGGTTGAATAAGTTTATGTAGATCTGGACCTTGCCTGGTAACTTCTGAGGTTGAATCTGGAGTAAATTTGTTCCATAAAATTACATAGCTTAAAAGAATTTGACACAGGTTATTTTATTTGTGTACAGTTTACACTTGTTATGGACTCTGCAAATATAATAATGATACCTTTTTCTGGTTTACATTGAAACTTGAAGCTTCATCCTCTTTTTATATTTATCACTTCATTGTTTTCTTCCAAATGTGAGTTCGAAAAGCTAAACTGTGGAAAACTAGTCCTGTGTTGTCAGCATAATTAATTTGTATCATTAGTTCCCCATAGTAACATGTGTTCTCCCCAGATTTTGACTGTGACTCACTTTAGTGAATTGTCTGATGAATCCCTTAGTAATTTCACTAACAATGAAGGTTTCATGTATTTCTTTTAAATGTCAAATTATTTAAAAAAATTTAAATACATTTTTAGGAATGTGGATTTTTTTTAGCTTGACAAATGCCATTATGTTCCAAGTGGATAAACTTTGTAAAATTTTTTTTTTTAATGCACAGTTAATTGGTCTCCTTCCCAAAATGCATGGTACTGTGACTGTTTTATCAATGACTTTTAAAAAATAAACAAACTCTGGTTTTGAGGTCTATTAATCATTTTGAAGATGTAGTCTGATTTGCAACAGTCTATACTATTCTACTCAGTATGCTTCCAATAGACCTTTAAAAATGGTATTCACTTGAGAACATATTCAATATCCTCTCTAATGTTGCCATTTAAAAATCTGTTTTTCCCCATTTTTGCAAGGAAGCTATGTGATGTTTTGTGTACATAAAAATACCTACCTTTGTCTTCGTCCATTAGAGCACTTGATGAAATTTTGTTTCATTTGCTGAAGTCAGGCAATAGAAAGCTATAGTCAGATGTTTTGGTGAAAAATGGAAAAAAGCTTTCTTATCCCTTGATGACTTCAGTATGTGGTTTTTTTTTTTTGTTTGTTTTTTCCCCAGTCATTCTAATCCTCCTCACAAACCCATTTTGAATATACTGTTAAGCATTCAGTTTCTGGTCAACTAAACAAATATAATTTTACTTTCCAATCCAATTCAAGACTTACTTAAATACATCTGATAAAGGAGATACCTATTTTATTTTTCACTTCTGCATGCACTGTAGTACAGTATACATGTGATCAGTCATCAGACCAATAATACAACCAGCTTTGGAAAATATATAAATAGATTACTCATGATTATTTTAAAAATCTTTTGTTTAAAATGTTTTACTATATGAATGCAAGTCAGCAAATCATTTTTAAAAAATAGTGAACTGCTGAACCCTATATCAGCATTCCTACTTGAGTGGAGGAGGGACTTTTTCATAAAGGTGCTTTGTTTTGTTGGCCTCTAATCAATTAGAAATCAAAGGACTTTTATCGATTGGTTTCTAACCAAGCATAATATGGTTTTTGCTGTTCTTATAAAATGTATTTACATATAGTTATTAATAAAATCATGGGCAATATGCTGATTTTTCAAATGAAGCTAAACAGCCTTAAGGGGTGTCCAGATCAATTCGTCTGAAAGTTCAGAGAAGTGTTTTTATTGGGAAAAGGATAATTTCAGAGAACTTTTTAAAAGTGACCCCCTCACAGATGGAATTATCCAAGTGTGACACTGCTGTCAGTTGTTTAAATTGCTTTCTAGGAGGTTTCATTTGAAGAAAAATCTCAGCTGAGCCACTGTATACAACTTCAGTTTTCATACACATGGTTTCCATTTGGCTGGTTCTCTTTCAGTACTGTAATGTTTCTAAAAGGCAGCTGCTGATGTGTCTGATAAAATAAAAAGCTCTCATTTGTAACCAAAGATTATTTGTCATTTAAATGAGAGAGGTATATTTTAAATAAAAATAAATACATAAAAAAATTGTTCTTGGGGTCTTCTGCTGTTCAGACTCTGACTATGCAGTGGATCCTTGTGCTGTGTGAAGCCCCATTTGCTTCAGTGGAACTACTGACTTTTATAAAGTTAAGTATTTCAAGAAGTCCCTGCAAGATCAGGGCCTTAGATTATGTCCCTGCCCTGAAGGGTTTACAGTCTATTAAACTACATACACCTTGTGGCACTGTAAAAAGGTATCAGTAGTACAAATGTGCATTTATAATGACATCTGAAATAAAGATTAGACTTCAAATCACTCTACGGTTAGTGAAAATGTATTATAAATAAAAATTTAAAAAGCACTAATAAATATTTGTGTACATGAAAAAAGTGATGACTGGCTTCTCCCTCCTAGCTCTGGAAGTTTACAGATCCCTTGGTGTTAGTGACACAGTCTAAATGTGCAGTGACCATATGATGAGATTGATGGGTCAAATGAGATCCAACAATGGAAAATAGAAAGTTCATGAAATTATGCTACAGTAATTTAATATAAAGTTAAAAGTCTTTCTTGAAAGTAAAAATACAATATGGCATTTGTTTTTTAAGTGTTAACAGTTGTAAACATTTTTCTGATGTTCACTGAATTTGTAATGAATTTATAATTTAAATTCACTTGTTTTTTATGGGTGCTCTTTCTTCCAGAAACCAGAGTGTGCATTGGAGGTTTTCAGACAAGCAGGAGTACCACCAAAGCAGAAAACTTCAATATTTAAGGTGTCAGATAATGCTATAATTAAGCCAGGTAATCTTTTTGAGCTGGAATACATTACATGTATGACTTACTCTTGGTTTAGACCGGGGTCGGCAACCTATGGCACGAGTGCCGAAGATGGCACGCGAGATGATTTTTAATGCCACGCTGCTGCCTGCTTGGGTCCCACTCAGCCCGCAGCCGAACCCCGGCAGCGGGCTGAGCCGGACCCCGGCAGGCAGCAGCGTGCCATTAAAAATCCTGCCTGACCAGCCCGCTCTTCTCTGCCCCCGCCTACTGCTCTCTCTGACGGGGGCAGAAGCAAGCTTGGTCCTGCCGGCTGCTGCTGTATGGCAGGCTCCGCCGGCAGCCAGGCTTCCCCCTCCCCCGCCTCTTCCCCCAGCGTGCTGTGTCGAGCCCCGCCTCCTCTCCCTCCCTGCCGCTGATGGCCCTTGTGAGGGAGGGGAGAAGAGCAGCCCCAGCACCCTCGCTGCTCAGACTGGTAAGGAGGCGGAGAAGAGGCAGGAGGAAGGAGAGTAGGAGTGGGGCGTATCCCTTCTGCCGTGAGCCGCTCAGGGGGTAGGGGGCTGGGAGCACCCCCCTGATCCCAGCCCCCCTCTGCCCTGACCCTTGCACCCCAGCCCCCTACACCCCCCCACGACCCCATCCCTGATTCCTGCACCCTCCACACATACTCAGCCCCCCAATACCCCCTGCCTTGACTCCTGCACTCCCCACACATACCCAGCCCCCCCATGCCCCCTGGTCTGACTCCTGCACTCCCCACACCCCCTGCCCTGACTCCTGCACTCCCCACAAATACCCAGCCCCCACACACCCTCTGCCCTGACTCTTGCACCCCCCACATCCGCACCCCCGACCCTGAGCACCAGGTTGGCAGCGGGCTGAGCGGGGCTGGCGGCTGGGACCCCAGCTGGCAAGGGGCTGGCAGCCAGAACCCCAGACCGGCAGCGGGCTGAGCGGGGCCGGCAGCCGGGACCCTGGCTGGCAGGAGCCAGCGGATGGAACCCCAGACCGGCAGCGGGCTGAGCCACTCGGCCCACTGCTGGTCTGGGGTGCCGGCCCTGCTCAGCCCGCCGCCGGTCTGGGGTCCTGGCCCATGGCCCCACTCAACCCGCTGCCGGCCCGGGGTTCTGGCTGCCGGCCCGGGGTTCTGGCTGCCACCCCCTTGCCAGCTGGGGTCCCAGCCGCCAACCCCGCTCAGCCCGCTGCCGGACTAGGTGAACGGAACCCCAGACTGGCAGCGGGCTGAGCAGGCCGGCGGCTTAAGATCAGCATTTTAATTTAATTTTAAATTAAGCTTCTTGAACATTTTGAAAACCTTGTTTACTTTACATATAACAGTAGTTTAGTTATATTATATATAGACTTACAGAGAGAGAGAGAGACCTTCTAAAAAACGTTAAAATGTATTACCGGCACGCGAAACCTTAAATTAAAATGAATAAATGAAGACTCGGCACACCACTTCTGAAAGGTTGCCGACCTCTGGTTTAGACTTACATAAACAGAGGACATTAAGGTAGGGTGACCAGATGTCCCGATTTTATAGGGACAGTCCCGATATTTGGGGCTTTTTCTCATATATGCTCCTGTTACCTCCCACCCCCGTCCCGATTTTTCACACTTGCTATTTGGTCAGCCTACATTAAGGTGCGATTGATTTGTAGGTATGAAAATGAATTTAAAAAAATCATTTTTTCCCCTCTATCACTGGGGCCAAATCAAATTTCTGAAAAGGAGGAAAATAGAAAATGGCCTTTGTTTTCTGTGGGTGGAGAAAGAAATTGTCGTCTTTCGCCATTTCTCCTTTTTATAGCAAATCAGTTCCACCCCTTGGAAAAGTTGTTTAATGCAAACTGGCTACAATGCAAATCGGTGTTAAAAATGAATGTGAATACACCTCCCAAAAGGACTTTTGGCACTCTTATAGGGACACCATAAGTGATGTTTTGCAGGAGGTTGGAAAAGTTGCCGTTTAAGAGGTTTCAGTCTTCTCTGTGCTTCCCTGGTTGAGACGAATTAGGTACCTCTTGAAATGCCATTGTTTCAGACTATTTGAGGCAGAAAGGATTCAGCAAAATGGAGCACTGGTTTCCATTGAGAATTATGTCTTGTAACCAGAAGATTTGGATGTTTAACCTTCATAAAAATTGTTTTTAAAATTTTTCAGGATATATTAGTATGTGAATTTGGGTTGTTTATATTACATGCTTTTGCCAACATAATTTTGCTTCAGGCATTTTATTAATTTATTAATCATTAGTTTTATTAAAACAGGGTCCTAATGGTCTATTTAAAATATTATGACTTCTTTGGTAGCCAGTAGAGAGAGAGTTTACAAACAGATCTTAGACTTTATTGCGGCTACTCATTAGTAGTATCCAGCATGGCATACGGAGAAAGTGTGGTCTGATAATTGAAGCAAAGGCTGAAAGTTGGGAGCATTTAAAGTCCTAAATAGGTACTACAAACATTACTGCGGCATCCTCCATCTTTCCCCTCTCATCTCAATTGTTTGCCCTGGGCTGTCTGTCTCTCTTTTTCTTGGGGCTAGTACACTTATACACACTTCATTATTTATTTATACTAGATGTCGATATTTTTCTGCTTGGTGATTTAGTAGAGGATCACATCATCACTATCTGCATTAACTGACAAATCTGACATTGATAGAGTGGAGTGATTTAAATTACTTGATTTTGTTTTTAAATTGATTTAAATCAAGTTGAGGATTTGTAAAACTAATCTGAGAATTTAATTTATAAAGAACTAAATTATCAAAGCTTCTTTTTAAATGCCACTATTATTAGAGTATGTTGTTTTTTAATTTTACAGCACTGCTATAAGCAAAAAACAAAAAATTGAAAACTAACGCCCTGATGCTGCAAGCAGTTAAGCAGATAAGTAATTTTACTTGCATGAATAGTCTCATTTGCTTTAATAGGACTACTCATGAATTTAATTTTAAGCACATGCATTGTGTTTGCAGAACAAGGGGCTAAAATTGTACTTTCGTTAAAAACTTTTTTCTTCGTGTCATAATCTTTGTCACATCAAAATAAATTGCTTCATTGTTAACACTGAAAAATTATTTAGTTGTATAATACATTAACAAAGTTATTTAGAACTTTTTTTTTATACACACAGCCCCAAAATTTCAAAAATAAGAGCAAAAAATCAGTCTCAAAAGGGATCTGAAAATGTAACCGCTACAAACTTAGCACAGGGTATTTGCATGTCTATTTTGTGTTTGAGCTTATTTTATTCTCTTAATAAAGATATTAAGGACCCTTGATTTGCCTTTTTCAGTGTAGATGAGTATCTTAAGTGTGCAACTTCTTAGTTGTAAAAATCTCTAGGTAAAATCTGCAATTGTATTAATAATTGGGAGACTAAAGAAACAAGTACAAAACAACCAATTTAGGAATTTAAGACTATAAAATGGGATGAAAATAAAGTAATTATACATAAATTAAAAATTTTTTTTTTAAAGCATCAGGATTTAAATAAAAAATATTTCCTTTTTAAAATTATTTTTAACAACTGTGGATGCTGACAGGATAATGGTTCACGTTTCAGCACTTAATTGAATGGTATATTTTCCCTCCTTTTTAAGGTACACCTCTGTATGCAGCTCACTTCCGTCCAGGGCAGTTTGTGGATGTCACTGCCAAAACGTAGGTTCCTAACTTTTTTTTAATTTATTGTATTTACCTTTCAGATATTTGTCATTTATTTTTCTTTTCTCCTAACATTAATTGTTGGCAAAAGTAGATTGAAAAAACCACATGAATTGTAGAATAATCTGGGCTTGTGTGCGGGATGCATTCATTAATATGGTACAGTGTAATGAGTGTGTCTCACTGTTAGTGTTAAATATGGTTGGCATTCCAGTGTAAGGTTCTCTCCTGAGTTTGGGTCAAGGATAGTTGTGGGTATGAGTTAGGCTGAATTTAAATTGTTTGCAGTGCTTCACAACGCTTGCCAAATTCCCATGTAGGTTTTCTAATTCTTATGGTCAACAGCAGTATAAAGTGAAGCCAGAGGATCTTGTTGTATGACTAAAGACTGCTGCTTTCTTCTGAGAAGTGACTTGATAAGGAAAAAGATGTGAATGAAAGTTTATCAATGGGAAAAACACTTTAGGTAGGAAATTGTTTCAAGTTGGGAAAGGCAGAAGAGGAGTCTTACAAAAACATTGCAAGAGAGAGGAGGCGTGAGAGGAGGGACAAAAAAGAATGGATATGCATGATATAAATACCAATGTAAATCTTTTATATGGGCTTGTCTACGCTACCGCGTGGGGTCGATCTAAGATACGCAACTTCAGCTATGTGAATAGCGTACTTAGATCTATTTACCACGGTGTCTTCACTGCGGTAAGTTGACAGCTGACGCTCTCCCGTCGACTCCGCTTGCTATTCTGGTGGAATACTGGAGTCGACGGGGGAGCGCTCAGCCGTCGATTTATCGCGTCTATACTAGACGCGATAAATCGACGTCTGCTGGATTGATCCCTGCCCACCAATCTGATGGGTAGTGTAGACAAGCCCTACGAGGTGGCACCATTTCTTGTGTCATGGTTCAGTTGCAGACATTCTTAATACTCTCCTCCATAGCAATTGTAGGTTAGTAAAATTTGGCATGAATTGTTCTATAGAACCAAATCTAGAGTCCCAAATCCAGGATTTCCAAAAAATATTAAAAGGAACCACTCCTTGTTCAGAAAAAACAAATAAACTAAGCTAAATTTAGTGTTTTTACTTCACCTATTTTTTTGAGATATGTTTCAAATAATTACCATCTGTTCAATTTTCCCCTCCCCACCCCCCCAAGTTTCTCACAAACTTCTTGCCAGACTTCCCTATATTTAAAAAAAAAAACACCAGTGTCAAATAACTTCTTTTTGTCAGCGAAGCATTTGTGAGAAACTTCAAGGAGTTGGTGAAGTAAAAAAAGTGGTGAAAATTAGGCTTATAATGGCCATTTTCTAGTTACTGAAATTGTTAATCACAATCAATATTTACTGATTTCACCATTCTGTTTTTATTAAATAAATGTAGATGTCATTTCGCCATACCTAACCATAAAGGAGGGCTATTTTAGTTGGAACAAATGACTATTTTTAACACTTATTTTTGTTGATTTAGCACTTTTCTTCCATATCACCATATTGCTAGAGTGTGTGCCAAAGCATACCATTCAGCATAGGTGCTCTGATATTACCATATTATATGAGGGGCAGGTGGAGCGCTATTTAGGAAGATATTTTATTTGTACTTCATTATTTCCTAGGACTCTCAATTATGGAGTGGGAGCCTGTTGTAGGCACTATACAGATATGTAACAAAGACAACAGTTTCTGCCTGAGAGTGCTCACAATTGACGTGACAGATGGGATATAACAATTGGATGAAACAGACACACTGGCTGAAGGGTGGGCTAGAAGGATGTTTAGCGGAAAAACTGCAATCATCGCTTTTCTAGCCAATGTCAGACCTGAATAATTTGTCAGCATCAGGGCAGAGAGGTTTTTGTAGAGGATAAGGTGGAGGTTTACAGTAATTGATGGGGAGTTTTCCCCATGCATGTGAAACAGATGGGATAAAATTCAAAGGTACTGGAGAAAGAAGCCCATAAGCAGGCAATCAAGGCTGCCATCACTAGCAGAGTGAAGATAGTGTTCAGTAACTTAATATATCTGATATAGAGGATGGGGATAAAGAGTCAAGGGCCTTTAATGCAAAGACAAAGAACTTGTGATTGATTTGGTGGAGGAGGGGGAGCCAGTGGAGGGATGCAAAAAGAGAGGGTTAATGTGGTCAGAATGGCAGGTCAGGAAATGACCCCAGCAGCAGCATTTTGAATAGACATGCGGTGTGTGGGAGCAACAGGGCTGCCAGACACCTACAGTATGTGGTCTGTTACATTTTTTTCCACATCCCAGCCTTTCTTCTCTGCTAACAAGCATCGCTATACCTTTCCTTGTAGGGTGGGAGGAATGATTTCTTCTCACACCACTGTGAATACTAGTTTATGGTTCAAATGATAGAGGGTGCATCTTGCCACCAAAAATCAGTTTTATCCTTTCTGAGACATGCATAATATCCACTAGTCTAGACAATTGGAATCCCCAATCTCCTTATTTCAATAAAGTGCATTTGTGTCATGATGTACTCCCAAGCAGGCCCTGTCTCTACTCCCCTTTTGTGAACTGGAAATCCCTAACTGCTTCCATAAGAGTGTTGAGAGATTTAATTGGCTAATATTTTGTTCAGTGCTTTGAAAATACAAAGCATTATGGGGTGTCTACATGGGAAAATGGACTGGGATAGCTGCAGTGGAATAAGCTACAGCTATATTAGAATAACTCCCTGTGCAGAGTTATTCTACTCTGAAATTCATAGATTGTAGGACTGGAAGGGACCTCGAGAGGTCATCGAGTCCAGTCCCCTGCCCGCATGGCAGGACCAAATACTGTCTAGACCATCCCTGATAGACATTTATCTAACCTACTCTTAAATAGCTCCAGAGATGGAGATTCCACAACCTCCCTAGGCAATTTATTCCAGTGTTTAACCACCCTGACAGTTAGGAACTTTTTCCTAATGTCCAACCTAGACCTCCCTTGCTGCAGTTTAAGCCCATTGCTTCTTGTTCTATCCTTAGAGGCTAAGGTGAACAAGTTTTCTCCCTCCTCCTTATGACGCCCTTTTAGATACCTGAAAACTGCTATCATGTCCCCTCTGTCTTCTCTTTTCCAAACTAAACAAACCCAATTCTTTCAGCCTTCCTTCATAGGTCATGTTCTCAAGACCTTTAATCATTCTTGTTGCTCTTCTCTGGACCCTTTCCAATTTCTCCACATCTTTCTTGAAATGCGGTGCCCAAAACTGGACACACTACTCCAGCTGAGGCCTAACCAGAGCAGAGTAGAGCGGAAGAATGACTTCTCGTGTCTTGCTCACAACACACCTGTTAATACATCCCAGAATCACGTTTGCTTTTTTTGCAACAGCATCACACTGTTGACTCATATTTAGCTTGTGGTCCACTATAACCCCTAGATCCCTTTCTGCCGTACTCCTTCCTAGACAGTCTCTTCCCATTCTGTATGTGTGAAACTGATTTTTTCTTCCTAAGTGGAGCACTTTGCATTTGTTTTTGTTAAACTTCATCCTGTTTAACAAAGTAACTTCATTTGGGAATTATTCTTGCATAGCTATACCAGCATATCTTATTCCATTATAGCTATGCCAGTCTATTTCCCTGTGTAAACAAGCCTTTATTTTTGTTTGTTAGAAAAAATCCCCAGAAAAGTGTAATGTTCTGGGATGGACCGTGTGTATGTGGGGGTAGATACCAGCTTTGGAAACGAAGGTCTTCGATATGTTTTTTTTTTTTTTAAAGTTCAATACCTATAACATCCAGAAACCGTATCAATCTTGCACAATATATGTAGAAAAATCTCATAGACTGTCCAATCTTTCAGACCAGAGTAGGTGAGGTATCAATTAGAATCAATTTTTTGGTAGAAATAGGAAAGTAAATCCTTGCTTCTGTTATGTTTGTGGGACGTGGCAGCATATTAAAATCACCTTTCTATCTATCTTGGAAGACTAGTCCTATTAACAAAGCAGCTTGTTTGCAAAGCAAAGCACTGTATCATTAGTACCTTAATTGAACATAGGTGGTGATTGTTTTTAGAACACTTCAAAAAAAGCCCCTGAGTGCTTTGCTTTTTTTTATATAAATTAAAAATAATTTCTCAGAAGCTAAAGGGTCATCCTAAATGTCTAGATAGGAAGGCTCCTGGGACAGGAACTATGTCTGTACATTTCCAGGTACACCTCTACCTCGATATAATGCTGTTCTCGGGAGCCAAAAAATCTTACCGTGTTATAGGTGAAACCGCATTATATCGAACTTGCTTTGATCCACCGGAGTGCGCAGCCCCGCCCCCCCAGACCACTGCTTTACCGTGTTCTATCCAAATTCGTGTTATATCGGGTCGCGTTAAATCGGGGTAGAGGTGTACAACAAAGGTGCTATATAATAATTAATGTGTTCTATGAAATAGATGTCAGCGGTATTTAAAAAAAAAATCAAGATATATGAAAAGTTTCCTTGTGGAGGTGAGAGCGTGTTAAAGATCATATATAATTTACCAGTATAGCTTGCTAGATGCTATTTAGAATTACTGGGAAACTAAATATAGAACTGGTTTCCTGGCCTCTTTCAGTCTGTGTGGCTGATCCCACCCCATCTTTTGAGTTATGAGTTGTAATCTAGAATATCTTTTCTCTCCAGTCATTTGCCTGATAATTTTTAAAACCAGATAGCTAAATTAGTTATTCCTAATGCTGCTTTTGGTAGTCTGATCCATATAACCTATATATGCAGCTCTTAATATAGGAATTACTCTTAAATTCTTAATTCTCATTATTAACTTTAGGTTTTCTTATCATGTTTTGCTCTCAATGTGATTCTGTAATCTTTCCAGTGCTCCTCTGTATCTGATGTGTTATAAATTTCTTCCTGTACCTCTTTTTACCTCTACTTTTTTTGTGTGTGTTTTGCTAATCTACATTGGCCTCTTTTCTGTAATTCTATATTTAGCATTAGATTGCCTCATGACCCCTTGGCAAACATTACATTATCTGTGAATACATTCAGT